GTTTTCCCCCCCATGCTATCACTCTGCTAAACAACTAATTCCCACAACACTGTCTATATCCTAGGATGTCAAACCACTTAGTAGGGCTTTATTATCTATTATCCTTCTCAACTTTTCATCTTTCCTATTACCTATTTCCTTAGCTTCTTATGACTATAACTTTGTTGTTTGTATCTCATGATTTATGTTGATTACCTTATTTAGTATCCTATTATGATTTATGTTGTTTGCTTATTTAGTATCCTATGATGATTACTGAGTTTGTATCTTATGATTTATGATGATTGTATTTTATGATTATGATCATGATTTATCACTTGTTGAGAGACAAATTCCTTGTGTATCCAATCACACTTCTCCAATAAAGAATTTCTACTCTATTCTACTCTACTCTACTCTACTCTACTCTACTCTACTCTACTCTACTCTACTTTACTCTATTGCCATTACAGCTGTAACCATTAGGATTATTGTTTGGACGAGAATTATTTTTATACATTTAATAAAGGTAAACTTTCTTTTGAGTCAAACTAACCTATTAAACACTTGTGATCCTATAATTATTAAAAATTAATAAAGTTTCCCATGAGTTTGGTACTTTGTTACTTTTTCATTTGGTCTATATTTTGAAATATTCATTGACCCTCAGCACATCATTTCATTCGTACTATAAATTTCAAAAAACAGCTCTTATTTACTCCTCACAGCTGCAATTTTATACATAGTTTACTTGGGAACAAGCCCTATTGAATGGTATGCAATTCAGTGATTTTTATGTCTGAATATATACGTACAGGATTTATTTAGGACAACTTTGTGAAAGTCAAAAGCAAAGCAATAATTATTAGGATTAAAAAGGGCATATTTTTAAAGGAATTATCTAATTCCTATTGAGGAAAATCAAACCTAAGTCAAAATGTGGAGATGCTTAATGTAAAAAATATGAATAAATATCTTAAGTTCTTCCTGGTTCAGTTACCTAAAGCTGCCATTTGGAGGTAGGTCTTCCCCCAAGATGGCTGCTGAATGGTAAGGAGATTTTTTTCTTGCCAACAATCTGCCTATTTTGCTGCCTAAGTTGGCTGTCTGGCAGTGCTGCTCTCTGGATTTGAATGGGAGCACTTTGGGATAACTACTTTTGGATGGCGGTGAAGAGGAATCTTGAGGAATCTTGAAGATTACAATTCCCTTTGGGAGTGGTTGGAAAGTCATGGGCATCCATCTTCCTGTTGCATTTTTTTTAAAGCATGCCTGGGTCTTGATTTCACATTTGAATTTTTTGCTTTGTGTTTTATCTTTAAAAGCGGCTGAATGCTGATTTATTTCAACCCCTTGCTGGACTTTAACTGTTCTCTTTTTTCCCCTTTGATTTATGCTGTTCTAAATAACTTTTGCTTTCTGTATGGAAACATGGCATGCTTGTCAATGGTGAAGTACTTCCATTTGATTTATATTAATATTGGGCTCTTAGAACAGGGTTTTTGTATCTTTTTAATTTGCAAAATACTTGGAGGGTTTTTTTTTTCTTTTAATCTTGGATTGAAATATCCAGAAAACACCTTTCCTGTTTCATTCTACTTCAGCTTCTTTGTTCCCTGGTTAAACTTCATAGAGTAACAGTGTACTACATTACAGCCAATCAGTGCCCAAAATCTGAGAAAAGGTCTTTTGGCAACATGCAACTTGTTGGGGGCTGTTTCACAAGAAGTGGGAATTAATATTGTAACAATGTATTAATCAGTACTCAACCAAGGGGGATAATATGTGGATATGTTTTGGGTTCTTTTTTTCCTTTTCTTTTAATGCACTTTTTTAATGTCTTGAATGCTTTGTGTCTTTTGTTTTTGTTGTTTTAAATTTCTTGGAGTTTTGTATTTTAACTTTTCTTTGAATAAAACAAAAATTGTTAAATTTAAAAAAGCTGCCATTTGGAAATAATATGTTCTCCTTATAATTGGAGAATAAGGTATGAAGAAAATACCACTTGGAACCATGCAAAACTATTTAAATTCTACATTAAGAATTCCCAAACAAAAAAGACTTTTTAATGTGTTTTTCCAGTTCTGTGAACAATGTCCAACTGAACCCTAATACTGATCACAAACACCCACTGCTCTCATTTTTTTTGTATGTACTGGCCTGTATTCTGAAGTAATAACACTGTAAAACTACCCAGTGTAAATAAAACAATAAAATAAGAGCTATTACACATTTAACAACAGTATCAGAGAAGCCAAAAAGAACATGGTCCCAAGAAGACAATCTTACTTCATACATAAAATGTATAAGAGTCTCTTGTATCCTTGGTTAAACGAACAAAATATGTACAAAAAAGAGCATATATTTTACTTGTCCATTACAAATTTAGTGTTACATGTTTTATAAAAGAATGCTTTTAATATATTTTATTCTGTCTTGAAGTGAAAATATGCATATTTTATTAAGGCAGTTACTGTATCATTTTTCTCTGGAATAGCTGATAGACATTTAACTCTAAACTATTATTATTATTATTATTATTATTATTATTATTATTATTATTATTATTATTAATTGAATTTATATACCGCCCTATCTCCCTTACGGGACTCAGGGCGGTGAACAGGCGATAATAAAAACCACGATAAATATACACAAATTTCTGTCTAAAATCAAATTAAATAACAGGCCTGCTCTAAAAATACCCCATACAAAACCCCCACTAAAACATAATCAAACTACGCCAGGCCGGCCGCACGGAATAGATGAGCCNGCCCTCTCTGTGGGAGCGGACTGGTCGAAGGGAGGTGTTTGGTAGGAGGCGGTCTTGCAAATACCTAGGTCCATTGCCACGGAGCGCTTTAAAGGTTGTTACTAACACCTTGAAGTGCACCCGGAAGGCCACAGGCAGCCAGTGCAGCTCGCGCAGGAGAGGTGTTACATGGGAGCATCTAGAGGCCCCCAGGATCCCCCGCGCGGCCGCATTCTGAACTAGCTGGAGCCTCCGGACACACCTCAAGGGGAGCCCCATGTAGAGAGCGTTGCAATAGTCCAGGCGGGAAACAATGAGGGCTTGAGTGACCGTGCGTAGAGCATCATGATCCAGAAAGGGGCGCAACTGGCGTATCAGGCGAACCTGATGAAAAGCCCCCCTGGCCACGGCTGTCACATGATCGTCTAAAGACAGCCGAGCATCCAGGAGGACGCCCAGGTTGCGGGCCCTCTCCGCGGGAGCTGACTCGCCCCCGATAGCCAGAGATGGAACCAACTGGCTATGATGTGACGCCGGAAACCACAGCCACTCGGTCTTGGACGGGTTGAGTTGAAGCCTGTTCCTCCCCATCCAGACTCGCAGGGCCTCCAGGCACCGGGACATCACTTCCGTGGCATCGTTGGGGTGGTCCAGGGTGGAGATGTACAGCTGGGTGTCATCTGCATACTGATGAAACTCCACCCCGAAACCATGGATGATCTCACCCAGTGGCTTCATATAAATGTTGAACAGGAGAGGCGAGAGGACCGACCCCTGTGGTACCCCACAAGTGAGGCACCTCGAGGTCGACCTCTGCCCCCCTGCCAACACAAATTGCGACCGGTCCGAGAGGTAGGAGGAGAACCACCGTAAGACGGTGCCCCCCAAACCCAAACCCTCTAACCGGTGCAACATGATACCATGGTCGATGGTATCGAAAGCCGCTGAGAGATCTAACAGGACCAGGATAGAGGAGCAGCCTCTATCCCGAGCCCTCCAGAGATCATCAAGCAACGCGACCAATGCCGTTTCCGTGCTGTGCCCAGGCCGGAAGCCGGACTGGCGCGAGTCTAGATAGACAGTTTCTTCCAGGTGCTGAGGGAGCTGTCGTGCCACCACACTCTCAACAACCTTCGCAAGAAAGCGAAGGTTGGAGACAGGACGGTAGTTGGCCAAAACAGCCGGGTCCAGGGAGGGCTTCTTGAGGAGGNCCTAAACCACGATCACTCAGCCACTGGCCGGAGGCAAAAACTAAGTCCAGTGTGTGTCCTCCGGTGTGGGTAGGGACATCTACTAATTGGGTCAGGTCCATGGCCGTCATGGAGGCCATGAACTCCCGAGCCACCTCAGATGCTTCACCTAACGATGGCAGATTGAAATCCCCCATGACTAACAGTCTGGGGGTCTCAAACTAGATTACAGAATTCATACTTTTCCATAATTGCCTTGCATAGTTTTTCAGATTCCATTTTTATGTAAAACAATACTCAGTGTTATTCTTCAGAACATATAATTTGAAGGTCTGTTTTGAAATAACTCCCATAACATTTGGATATTTTTATCCAAGTAGCAAAGGGAAGTGGGTGTTTACAAGCTATAATTTCCCCCCCTAAAATTATTGTAGGTGACAGAATAAAAATATGTCTAGCTTTCCTTTAATATTTAATATATACTCTGCTGACGATTTTAACTGCTAATTACATACTTTTTCCTTCCATAGTGAAACTTTCATTTTCATTTTTAATGTTTTCATTTTCTTAATATTGTTTCTCTTTAGTATGGTCAATCATCTTTAACCCTGGTCTTTAAACCATAAATTTTCTTGACATAAATCATATTACATTATATAAAATTCTGTTTAAACAATTTTATTTTTACTGAGAATACTGAAAGCTTAAATATGGTTAATAAATAATCAAGATAAAATATAGTTAATAGTTACTTTGGAACAAGCAAGTATCAATAAAACCTTAATATGATTGCAAATACCATAATTTTCCGAGTAGCCTCAGTGACATGGGTGGCTATATAAATTTGATTGATTAATCATTTCTTTTGCACAAATATGTAATAAAGTCACAAAGAAACAATTAAGAACTAGTTAAATATATTTGTCATTTTAAAATATGTTTTAGTTAAAATAACTAAGGACATTGTGGCAGGTAATAAATTAAATCAGTTACTTCATATTTTCATTGTTATGATTTAAATGAGCAAATAATGATGGTATTTTATAAATGGCATTATTTAATTATTTTTATGTGTACAGACAGTTGGAAAAAGAATGCCCACAGCTACAACAGTCCAGGAGACAACAAAAATAGAATTGGATAGCAGAACAAAGAGTAAGTCTTCCTGCTTTTTTTTCATTACATTCTGGTTGGAGAAATTTGGGGACACACTGTAGAAGTACAAACTGCCTAAATAATGGTGCCACTCTATGAACAGGATAACATCAGAGGGAACTGCTTAATTTTGTATAGGAAAAACTTTTAGTGCATAAATTTTCTGGTGAGAAGGAAATATTGTGGGAGATTTTAACATTTTAAAATGAAACAAATGGGAAATAATGAAAAAACTTCCTTAGCTCAAATGTGTAATGTCATTGGATCATGTGTACCAGGCAAAATAACAACTTCTTTAAGGAGGCATTGAGAACTACATCCTCAAAGGCTGATAACAAACTAAGCAAACAGCTGGTTCAGCCTGTAAGAATATACTAAACATACTATGGCTAAGAACACTATAATACTGTATTCACTACTAAGATAACAGAACCATGCATTTCAATCTTAAATTTTTCTGTTGATGATTCTGTCACTTCTGATTCTGAGTGGCAGCACAAGGCATCTCTTACAAATAGTTTAATCTTTGTGAAATGCAAAGTTTGGGTATGGGGCATTGCCTCCTTCCTAGGAACATGATAGGGTGACTGACTGGCTTTGTGCCTAAGACAGGTGTCTTCTGTTTTCTAGCCTGATGCCTTAATTACTGCACCAAACTGGCTCTTTTCCTTATAGTTAGTTGATTCCTAAATTACCAGTGAAATGTATTGAATATAATTTTTAATTGAAAGAGGGACATAGTATTATAGTATAAGAGTATGCTGTTATTTTTGTAGAGTGGTCTGATTATCATTTCCATTTGGGTTTTTTGTTTTATTGTTTATTTACTTATTTCCCACCTTTATTATTTTTATAAATAATAAACTCAAGACAGTAAACATATCCAACATACATTCCTTCTCCTATTTTCCCCACAATAACAAACCTGTGAGGTGAGTTGGGATGAGAGAAAGTGGCTGGCCCAAGGTCACCCAGCTGGCTTTCATGGCTAAGGTAGGACTTGAACTCACAATCTCTTGCTTTCTAGCCTGGTGCCTTAACCACATGACCTAACTGGCTCTAATGGTTCCTACATATTCTACATTTGATCCTGGGAATCTAAATCCAAAATACCTTTCTGTTCTAATGCAATAATCTAGTGCACAGCCATGTAGTACATATAAGGAATGCAAAGGTACTGTTTAAAGTGACATATATGATTTGGAATATCTCTTTGATTTCATTTTCCATGTTAAATTCACCTTAAGAATTCTGACCAATGGCCAATAATTTCATTTTTCACTGTGATGAGCTTTCCCGTGTTCATACGTCTTATGTTCTAGACTTCCAGGTAATTGTCTCTTTGCAGCTTTGGATTTTTTTATATATATGTCAACATTAATATCAATAATTAAACATCCCAAAGACTTTAATCCAGCCAACAGTATTATTATTCTGAAAGATCGTCAGCTCTTCCTTCAGTAGCATGTTGGGGTCATTTGGCTTCAGGAACCCACCTTACAGTGTATTGTCACTCATTTTATATTTTCTATCCATGTGGTTTTCTTGGCAAAATACAGTGGTGATTTACCATTACCTTTACCCAAAGAATATGATTTGATGTTTTTGCCATTATTACTAAGTATGTGTAAGGATTTTATTTAAACGAGCCCAAACTCACTGCAGCAACCCAGAACAGCAGAAAAAGGAAATGGAGCATCTATATAACACATTCCAACAAAATGGATACCCACGCAACTTCATCAAAAAGTCCATGACCACTCAACCTGATACAGCACAACCAACACAAACACTAAAAATAATTACACTGCCATACATCAAGAATATCTCAGAAACTGCAAATAGACTGTTACAACCACATGGAATCAGCATAGCACATAAGCCAACTAAAGCCCTTCAAAACATCCTAAGTAAACCCAAAGACCCAGAAACCCCAGAAGGAAAAACAGGAGTTATTTACAACATACAGTGTAAGAACTGCAACAACCACTATGTAGGACAAACAGGCAGAAGACTGGCAGAACGCATCCATGAACACCAACTGGCAGTCAAAAGGCATGACGAAAATTCTTTTAATTTCACAACATATAGACAGTTTAACCATAATTTCAATTGGGAAAATGTGACAATCCTAGACCAGGCCAAATCCAAAAATGCCAGGGAATTTCTAGAAGCCTGGCACTCTGACAAATCAGCCATCAGTAGACACATAGACATTAACAACATCTATAGATTATGCAAAAGAGACGATCTACCAGTCCCAAAGAGAAAAAGACTCAGCACTTCTCCACTAGTAATCAGCACTCAGATCAGCATAGATTAACTCTAAGGTCACCTTCAGACCAATCAAGTAAGCAATAACCCAATCAAGAAACTACCACAGAGCCATTAGTAAACAAGACAGGCAAGAGACCAGAATATAAACAGACAGCAAACAGCACTTCTTACTAGCATTGAAGATGTTACCTAGTTAGGGTAATGAAATGTATGCAAGAAAACAAGCAAGCTCAGAGAGCACCAAGGACCCCTCATTACTAAGTATGTTCCACTGGATTGGTGTTGCCTAATATAAATGCCTGTGTGTTTCAGCTTGGCAGCTAACATGACCTTCATGTTTTGGGTGACCATACTGAGATTGTATACTCTTGCGATACCCTCCCAGCATTCTTCACTCATCCTACTGCCACCCCTATAATAAGCAGCACAGCATGATGTGAGGTCGGGTATCTATGATACTAACCTACAAATGCAGGCAATGGCATTTATCTCAAAAATAGATAAAGTATGACTAGTAGCAATGGGCTGTGGGAATAACCTTGAGGAACAGGAAGAAGAGCCATAGCCAAGACAGTAGTTAGGTAGGGTAAATCTGAAACCAAAGCAGAAATGTAATTTGAGAAAAAACTCACATTTGACCCATTCTAGTTTTCTTGTACATAAAGGAAAAGAGGAGCACTTACCGATTTGTAAGATTCTGTTAATGTAACCCTATGATAATGGTAGTTTAGTATTTATAACTTTGGCTTCCAAATCTGGTCTACCTTAAAATGCTAAGACTTGTTGTGAATATTTTAAGAATATGAACTGAAAACTCATTTTTTCTTTTATTTATTTTTTATTTTTTCTTTAAAATTTGGAATGTTACATGCTTTTATTCTCATATTAAATGGAATAACATGTTTGGCTTCTTAAGAATGTGGGTGCATTTATATTCTTCTTTATATAAACCAGAATATTCATAAAAGTATTGGAGAAACTCTCCCACTTTCTATTTATAAAGATTCTTCCTCATAGCATCAAATTCAGGAAGAGAGCAATATTGCCATAAAGCAAGGTTTAACAAAACATTTCCAACTAGTGTTGTAGCTAATGGCTATTTCTGCTACAATCTTTATTACTGTTTATTGAAAGTTATTTTAATATAATTCTAATTCTTGACCAAGCAAGTTTTATTTCTTCACATTTACTTCTGAAGTTGGTGAAATGTATTGAAATACACCACTTTTCCTTTTAGTGAAGGAGTATTGCAAAGTTATATTTCCTTATGAAGCACAGAATGAAGATGAATTGACAATCAAAGAAGGTGATATTGTTACTCTTGTCAATAAGGTAATTATACTCTTTGTTTTACAGTCATACCATTTTATAGAAAAACATTGTATTGTATGAACTAATCAAACTGAGTACTTAGTTTGAGCATGACATCTAATGTTTAGGGTGGGTTGTTTCAAAAGAGCTGATATAATAAGAAAATATCAGTGCCCAAAGTGAAACTGGTTGAACTTCATTTCTTTATGCATTACAAACAAGTAATTGAACTCTGCCATATGGAAGAACCATTAGTTTGCAGCTAAGTATATTATTGAAGAACTTAGTTGGAAGAATTTTGTTGCTTTTAAAATAAAATGTGGAATTAATTAGCTAATAATTTATTATAGGAATTTAAAACAGCCTATCAAACCAATTCTTTTAATACATATTAAATGTAAGGTAAAACTAAAAAGTATTTTCAAGCTATTTTATTTCAATATTAATTTATTTCTTCTCTTTTTCTCAAGAAACAATTGGGACTTTTCTAGTCCTGAAAAGTTTAAAAATCCTGTTCAAAAAGAAAGCTGAGCAAATAGGCATAAAGCTGAAATTATGGACTCCATAATTCAAATATGCAATTTATCTCTATTTGACTTCTGTAGCTGAGGAGTGGAAGGTGACCAATATAACTCTAATTGTTAAGAAGGGTTCATGGGGAGATCCAGGAAATTATAGGCTTGTCAGCTTAACATCTGCCCAGGGAAGATAGCGGAAATTGCCAAACATTTGGAGACACAAATCTTGTTCAAGGATACCCAACATGGCTTCAATAAGGAAAGATTAATGAATCTATTAGAGCTTTTTAAAGTTGTTGATAAACATTTGGATAAGAACAAGCCATTAGACATCATCTAGCCTTTGATAAAGTTCCTTGTCAATGACTTCTCAATAAGTTTAATAGCCATGGAATAAAAGGGCAGGTTGTCTTGTGGATAAGCAATGGCTAAAGAACTAGAGGAAAATCAGAAGACGGCAGCTAAGATGATGATGAGGAAAGGTTGCTTTGTTTGGAGCTTTTTAGTTTAGAAAGGAGGCGATTGAGAGGGGATGTGATTGAGGTACACAAAATTATGCATTGTGTGGTTAAAGTGGATAAAAAAGGTTATTTTCTCTTTCTCAGAATACTAGAACCAGATGTTACCCAAAGAAATGGCATCTTGGAAGAAACAGTACAGATGATTATGCATTATGCAATGCATAATTAAATTGCTACCATGAGATGTGATGCTGGCTACCAACCTGGCTGGCTTAAAAAAAAAAGATTAGACTGACTCATGGAAGTCATAGGGATCATTAGCTATTAGCTTTAAGGACAATATGGCTGCTTCTGAATGACATTTGTTGGGATACTAGTGAACTTTCTAGGGCAAGTTGCTGGCCACAGTGAGAAAAGGCTGCAAAAACAAAACTAAATATCCACTATCCACCAGTGACAACCATCAATTAACCATGAATTAAATTATAAACCTTGATCTTAAAGAATTCTAAACCTACAACTTTGTTTTGGATACCAGAATTGAATGGAGCTCATTTATATGCACCTGCACCTGAGGGCAGGACAAGAAGCAATGGATGGAAACTAATCAAAGAGAGAAGCAACCTAGAACTAAGAAGAAATTTCCTGACAGTTAGAACAATTAATCAGTGGAACAACCTGCCTTCAGAAGTTGTGAATGCTCCAACACTGGAAGTTTTTAAGAAAAGACGGGACAACCATTTGTCTGAAATGATATAGGTTTCCTGCCTGAGCAGGGGGTTGGACTACTAAATGACCTTTAAGGTCCCTTCCAACTTGTATTATTATTATTATTATTATTATTATTATTATTATTATTATTATTATTATTATTATTATTATTATTATCCAGTCCTAATGATTACTCTTCTCTTCCCTATTGTTAAATTCAGAAATAAAAATTTTGGATAGGAGAGAGAAAGGATTATTTTGTTGTTATTTTCAAGTGGTGGGTAATTAGGGATCATTGCTGATCTATTTGAAGCCACCAAGACATCTGTCAGTAAATCCAAGTTTCCATTTGGTTGGAGCTACAACGTGAAATAATTTATTATCTTTAGAGCAGGGGTGTCAAACTGGCAGTCCGTGGGCCGGATGCATCACACACAGGCCACACTTACCCTGGCTCCGCAAAGCAAAAAACATTGTGATATGTCACATGACATAATCGAGTTTGATACCCATGGTTTAGAGAGTCAATTTGCTGTACTGCTTAAGATTCCAGGCTATGTTTGATGATGATGTGCCATCAAGTAGTTTTTGAGTTCTAGAAACCAAGTTTATCTTATCCCTGCATGCACTTTTACACATCAGTTTGACTACCTCAGGGCTGTCAAACTGCCGGCCTGCAGGCCAGATGTATCATAGCAAAACCGCGCCCACACCATTGCTGACAATGGCAAAAAAGTCACAATATGTCACATCACGTTGAAAGTTTGACACCCCTGGATTACATTATCTAGCATGCAGAGCTCCAAACAAGCCATTAGATGGCAGCAAATAAATTGTTTCAAGTATTTATTTTCACCATATAGTGATCAATTATAGTTTGCAAATCAGTTATGTTAGCTCCCATTTAGCACTTTGTGAGAGGAGGCAGAGAAACTACAAAGTGGCAGTAAATGGAGAACATTTTTCTAAAACCCAGATATCCAGACATATATTTTCCTCTCCACCTTTAAAATAATCATATTTTTATATTATGTCATGGTTCCGACAGATGAAATTTTTATGTCATGGTTCTGACAGATGAAACTCTTTAAAAGAACTTTGAGGAATTGTTTATCTTAAAGAATCTTTTATTAGAGAAACAAAGCATCAGCACTACATAGTTAAAGCCAAAAACTGAATCCCCCCCCAGGCACAAAGTAGCAAAGCACAATTCCCTCCTCCAATTAACAGTCATAAATCATATTCCCCAATTAGCTTGAAGCGCGGGCTTTCTCCCCAGCTCTCCAGCCCGCCAAATCTTTATCAGTTCTGGGCACAATAACCTTGATTCCCACGGCTGAGTTATTGTTGTTATGACTAACTGGACTCTCATTCACATCCCCCCTCCCAGCATCATCTAACTCTAAAAGCAAAAGAGAAAAGATGGCTACATTTCCATCTGTTGTCAAAGCAAGAACATCCGATGTTAGCAGCGTTGACATCCGCCCCCCCTTACAAAAAAGGATAAATCCTGTAATGTAGACAAAAGCACAGGTTAGGGATTGCCTCTTGGTTTATTAGGGTGTTTCTTATAGAACCTATTAATGAGTGTCAGCTTTCACATCACTAGACTTCACCCAGGTGGCCTCAGACAACGAATATCCCTTCCATTGCACTAAGTACTGCAATTTCCCCATAAAAATTCTAGAATCAAGAATATGCTTTACTTCATAGTGAGTCTGTCCTGCCACCACGAGGGGTCCGGGTGCCTTCTTAGGGGGAGGTCTTAAAGTGGAACCCCGAAAAGGTTTCAACAGGCTACAATGGAAAACAGGGTGAATTTTTCCTAAGAGCCTAGGAAGTTTTAATTCCACTTGACCGGGTTAATGATCTTTACAATGGGGAAGGGTCTTATGTACTTCGGTACTAACTTCTTACTAGGTAACCTAAGCCGTAAATATTTAGTTGACAGATAAACCTTTTCCCCAACTTGGAATGTTCTTTGAGGAGCCTTTTTTTTATCTGCCTGTTTTTTGTATGTCTCAGAAGCCTTTTTTAAAGCAGTTTTCGTGGTTTTCCAAACTTCTTCCCACCCCCTCACCCATTGATCAAGAGTCTGAGAAGGGGCGGGTGCTTGGGGATATTCGGGTATCAGACTGAACTCTTTTCCTGTGGCCACTTTAAAAAGGCGTGAAGCCGGTGCTGCTGTGAACAGAGTTATTGTAAGCCACCTCTGCAAAAGGGAGACGGTCAGTCCAGTTCGTTAGTTCATAATTAGCATAGCATCTAAGATACTGCTCCACCATTGAGTTCGTGGATTCAGCCCCCCCATTAGTAGATGGGTGAAAAGCAGATGATAGTCTTTGAGATGAGCCAATTAGTTTAAGAAAACTTCTCCAAAACTTAGCTATGAACTGCACTCCCCTGTCAGAGATTATTTGTTTAGGTGTGCCATGCAATCTGTAGATGTGTTTCAGGAACATTTTGGTTAGTCATTGGGCGGATGGGAGCCCTTTGCAGGCAATGAAGTGAGCCTGCTTTGAGAACAGATCTATCACAGTCCAGATGACTGTATTTCCCCTACTTTCAGGTAGATCCACTATAAAATCCATAGCAATTTCTTCTCATGGTTGGGAAGGGTCTACCACCAGTTGCAATAACCCAGGGGGTTTCCCCAGAATTCTTTTCATGATGGCACATACAGCACAACTCCGGACATAGTTTTCCACATCCCATTTCAATCCCGGCCACCAGAATTGATGGCGGATGAGGTGTAGTGTTTTTAAATATCCAAAGTGCCCAGCCTGTTTTACGTCGCGCTGTGTCAGTGCGTGTTAAGATGGAGGGTCTCTGGCAAATATAGTTTTCCACCTTTCTAAGCCAAACCGTCCCTGCATGTTAGGGAGGTTTGATTGTCCTTGAACCAGTGGTCGGTGAGGAGCTCTTGTTTTATTTTCTTTGCCCCATGGTAATTGGGATTAGGGGCTTTTGGAGGTGGGACTCTGCATGGTGTAAGCTGAGAAGTGGTTTGTGGATTGGAGATGATTGCTTCATTAACCTCTTCATCAGCTAAGAAGTTTTTTCCTCCCGGTATGTATTTTAGGGTGAAGTTAAAATGGTTAAAGTACTGCGCCCATCGTACTTGTTTCGGAGACAATTTACTGGGAGTTTTTACTGCTTCTAGGTTTTTGTGATCAGTCCATACCTCGAAAGACACCTTACTCCCCTCTAGATAGTCTCGCCAGTTTAATAGAGCCCAGCGGATTGCGAAAGCCTCCTTTTCCCACATAGCCCACCTCCTCTTACATTCAGTGAATTTGTTTGAGGTGTAGGCGCAGGGTTTTAGGATCCCACTCTGGTTCTCTTGCAGTAGCACAGCTCCAACAGCCACATCGCTGGCATCGACTTGAATCACAAAGGGCTTCCCTGGGCAAGAATGCTTTAAGACCGGTTCAAGCGCAAATAGTCTTTTTAAATCTTCAAAAGCAGTTTGACAGTTTATAGTCCATGCTAATGGCCTGGACGTGGCTTTCCTCCCCCTTTGCCTGTTTTTAGTAATTCCGTAAGTGGCAGGGCAATTTCAGCGAAGAAGGGGATGAGTTGATGGTAGAAGTTGGCGAATCCCAGAAAGCTCTGGAGCTGTTTGTGAGTCTTTGGGGGTTGCCATTTAATTACGGCTTTCACTTTGGTCGGGTCCAGCTTTGCCCCCAGCTGGGAGGCCTGAAAAATTTCCTTCTCCAACGGCGCGCTGGCTGTCACTCCCCCTTCTGGGGTAGCAGCCACCGCCGGGGTGCTGGTTTCAGGTGCTCTTTCTTTCTTCATGCTGAGATCTTCCCTGAATCTTTGTCGGCTTATCCCTCGATTCTAGGGACAGTGACTGGGGCTCAGGACCCCAAGATAGTTAGGAAAAAATTGCAGTTTTTGGCTTAATGTCATGGTTCCGACAGATGAAACTCTGTAAAAGAATTTCGAGGCATTGTTTACCTTAAAGAATCTTTTATTAAAAAAACAAAGCATCGGCACTACATAGTTAAAGCCAAAAACTGAATTCCACACACACATCCCCTGGGCACAAAGTAGCAAAGCACAATTCCCTCCTCCAATTAACAGTCATAAATCATATTCCCCAAATAGCTTGAAGCGCGGGCTTTCTCCCCAGCTCTCCAGCCTGCCTAATCTTTATCAGTTCTGGGCACAATAACCTTGATTTCCATGGCTGAGTTATTGTTGTTATGACTATCTGGACTCTCATCCACATCCCCCCTCCCAGCATCGTTTAACTCTAAAAGCAAAAGAGAAAAGATGGCTACATTTCCATCTGTTGTCAAAGCAAGAACATCCGATGTTAGCAGCCTTGATAAGTATGCTGTCTGAAATATGTTTTTTTGAAAAGCAACTGGACTTTATCTACCCTGATATCAACTGAGAGACAAACACTGCAGCAAATGGGAGATCGAACAGATTCCTAACCAAGTTAGCTGACAACTTTCTCATCCAAAAGGTAGAGGAGGGACCTTGGAGTCCAAATGGACGATCACTTAAATATGAGCCAGCAGTGTGCAGTCAAACAAAGCTAATATAATCCTTGGTTGTATAAACAGAGGCATAGAATCAAAATCATGTGAAGTATTAGTACCACTTTATAAATCCTTAGAAAGACCACACCTGGAATACTGCATCCATTTTTGGTCACCACATTACAAAAAAGATGTTCAGACTTTGGAAAAAGTGCAAAGAAGAGTGACTAAGATGATTAAAGGCCTGGAGACTAAAGCATATGAAGAATCATTGCAGCATTTAGATTTGACTAGTCGAGAGAAAAGGACTAGGGGGACATGATAGCAGTATTCCAGTATCTGAGAGGTTGCCACAAAGAGGAAGGGATCAACTTATTTTCCAAAGCACCAGAGGGCAGGACATGAAACAATAGATGGAAACTAATCAAGGAAAGAAGCAACCTGGAATTAAGGAGAAACATCCTTACAGTGAGGACAATTAACCAGTGGAACAGCTTGCTGTCAGAAGTTGTGGGTACTTCATCACTGGAGGTTTTTAAAAAGACTGGACAATCATTTGTCTGAAATAGTATAGGGTCTCCTGCTTGAGCAGGGGGTTGGACTAGAAGATATCCAAGGTCCCTTCCAGCTCTATTCTAATTGATAGATAGATTGATTGATTAAGAATTCTATAGCTAGATTCTGTAATGATGGGTTTACTTATTTTGTAATAATCCAATATTTTACAAAATGAAGAATGAGAATGGCAGTAAGATCTTTCACATATTGGTAAGAACAGCACATTACATTTGGAGAAAATCCCACTTTCTGAAGTAAGTGCTATGACTTCCTGGTCAAAACGATTATAGAGGAACGTGATGTAAATATATCATAATAACTACTGTTTCAAGGTATTTGTCTATTTATTATCAATGCACAAGAAAAAAGAATCCTGACTTATAGAATAATTGTCTTTCAATATACACTCTTATGTATCATAGGATTGCATTGATGCTGGCTGGTGGGAAGGAGAACTTAATGGTAGAAGAGGAGTATTCCCTGATAACTTTGTAAAACTATTACTTCCTGATTTTGAAAAAGAGGTAGGAGCAACTTGCCTATCATTGTAAAGCAAATTAACTTTTATATCATTTACAAATGTTGCCCATCTAAATCACAATAAAACATAATTCTTTTTTTAAAAAAATCACAATTAATGGAAACTATACAGTTTTATAAAATATAATCTGCATATTGATATTTTTTGATATTTGATAAATATTCACGTTTTTATGGTGTCGTTTGCCTATCAGGTGCCACCTTTCATTTCTTTGTTAATAATCTTTTTTTCATTTTCTTTTATTTTAGAGACCTAAAAAGCCTCCACCTCCTTCAGCTCCTTTCAAACAAGGATCAGGTAATTTACAGCATCAATAAATATGCTCTTAAATATACAACAATCTATTTGGTGTCTCTTAATATGCTCTCAGCTACTGTATATACCATACCATGTTAAATGGTTAAATTCCAATTACAGGTACTCCTCACCTAGTGTCCATTCAAAATTATAATGGACCTCCCCAGCTGCCCCCCTCTACCCTTCCTGCAGCCCTGTGATTGCTTGGCAGTTGGCTCACATTTACAACTGTTTGTAGCATCCTACAGCCATGTGACCATGATTTTTGGCATTTTTTTTCAGTTTTCAGCATTTACTTCTGATTTCTGGAAAACCCACCCATTGATTATAATGGATTCATTTAACAACTGTGATGTCACTTAATAACTGCAATGTTTACTTAATGACAGCTTCAAAAAGTCATCATGTGTTACCAGCTCATAACCCAAGGAATAAAAGAGAAGAAGTATGAAATAAAATCCTAAAACATTAGAATGTATAGGCACTGGAAAGAATAATGGACAAACAGCTGTAAATACACTATTCTCTGTATTTTGAATCTTACTTTATATGCATAATTATGATTATGAGTAAAAATTCACCCAAACATGTATGGTAATAAATGTATGCACCCTACATTCAAATGAATCCACTAAATTTGTCTGGAAGGATGTTTTGAGGAGACAGTTAAAAAGGGCATTTCTGTATCCTAATAAACACAGGAAATATTCATTTAGGATGCTACACTTCATATATGAGTTATGGAATTACAAATACTTCTTTCAGTTTAATTCTCTTGCTCCTGCAATAGGACAGATTATTTTAATTAAATTAATTAGTCAATTTATAACATGAGGCATAAATATAATCATGAGTATTCTAGCTTCAGCTACAATAGACATAAAATAAACCTTCGGCAATTCTGAAATATTGCTCAATTCACTTGTAGACTGACATCCGATAAGAATTATTATGATGGATCATTGTCATATAAGCAAACCAAAGCAGTGAATCTCCTTTTCCTGTTAAGTGCCATAGCAGTGGTAATCACTTCTTGTGATTTTAAATTTTAAAATCTACTTGATTTGATACTGTATCTGACACAAAGAACCCAGGTTTAACAGAGTTTAATTGAAACTGAAATACTTCTAAATATAAATAGGTCTACGTGTGTAATCCATAGAGAAACAGGCTATCACATTTTAAGTGAAAAACTACTAAATTAGCAGAGCAGAAAAATTAATCTTTATTGCCTTCTTTTTAAGTGTTTAATATTATGCTTTTTGATAGCTACTACAGACAGAAAGCATGAAATTAAAAAAGTTCCTCCTGAGAGGCCAGAATGTCTTCCTCATCGAATAGAAGAAAAAGGTAAGAATTGTAATTCTGTTTGAAAACCACCTTTGTATCTATATTTTAATCTTTCATCCAAGAGACAAGTTGTATTTATATCTTGTCTGGTCTAACTTTTTGATCAGAGACTCAGAAACACTGGTTCAAAAATCTTTGTTATATATAATTTCTGGAACAGGAATAAGGGAATTCCATATTGTAGTGTGTAGAAATTAACTTGTGAGTATGACACGTATGCCACCAGTTCCGTTGTGGCCCAAATTTCCCACTTGTATGATTACTTGTAAAACAGTGCCAGAAGCATCAGCAATGAAATAAGGTTCTGTGAGTTTCTCTTTTGTTTTATTTAAAACTGCATGTTATTTCTCTCTATATAAGAAAGCCTCAAATGTTAGATGAAATATATGTAAGGCTTCTTGAGAACATCCAAGGCTATTCCAGTATAGAACTTTTGATTCTCCAGATATTGATCCAACAGAATCTTGATACAACCGGAAAAAACTTTACTTTCATTCTAAAAAGCAAGCAAATGCTGTTGCTTTTGAAGCAGTATGGACAATTGATATCATTTGCATTATTATGTAATTTATAATTATTAGATCAATTTATGCAAATAATTAAATTTATTATTTAACTCTGCAAATATAAATATGCATAAATATGAATAAAACATTACTTCAGATTGCAAATGAGGTCAGTTACCTGTATTTTAATTTAATGTGAGTTCAGGCTTGACAGACATCCTTCCTTCCCACCCCCTATTGATCCATTAAATCATGAAATTCATCCAGTCATTAAATTGTGGTTCAAATATTAGATAATAATTATATAATATTTTAGAATATAAGAAAAATGGATGTAAACTACTTATACATTTCAGTTAAATTTTAAGAATTCCTTTATAATATTCTTAAATTGGGCAACAGTAGCAAGTTATTAAGATTCACATTTATTATTGTTGAAAATAACAACTTTAAAAAATTTTAGCATGCAGAAAATTGCAGGAGGGTGTCTTTCCTGCGGCCCTTAAGGAGGCCGTTGTGAGGCCCCTCCTCAAGAAGCCTTCCCTGGACCCAGATGAGTTGGCCAGTTATCGCCCAGTCTCCAACCTTCGCTTTGCGGCGAAGGTTGTTGAGAGTGTGGTTGCACGGCAATTCCCTCGGCACCTGGATGAATCAGTCTATCTGGACCCATACC